AACCCTAACCTCACAGGTACCTACTTGACTCTAACCCTAACCTCACAGGTACCTACTTGACTCTAACCTCACAGGTACATACCTGACTCTAACCCTAACCTCACAGGTACCTACCTGACTCTAACCCTAACCTCACAGGTACCTACTTGACTCTAACCCTAACCTCACAGGTACCTACCTGACTCTAAACCTGATCTAAACTCAGTTCACAGCCACACAGTCCTAAACTTAACCCCCATCCTTCCACCGGTATTTCCCAGTGGGGATTAGGCGTAGGTCCTCATATGCACCAGTTGGTCCCCACAAATAGGTGTGTATGCCAACAATGGTCCCCACTAGGTCGTACCTGCCCGTGAAGCTGATGATGKCCTTCACAAACATCCTGTTGGACAGATTGAAGCCAACATGTCGGAGCCACTACAGTTTGGGCTGATGTCGGTACAAAGTGTTCATCAGGAGGAATCAGGAGGGTTTATAACTCCTGAACAGGAAGACATGAAACCGAAGAGGCTCTGAATAATTAATGAAGCCTCGGACACAYGAGCTGCTGAATCAGCCGATGGAGGAAAGTATCAGCTCAGCAGAGAGGACCGTTTCCTGTGAGGCAGGAGGATTTGCAGGTCTGTGAGCCTCACACAGGAGCAACAGAAACTTTGTCCTGATTCATCACCACTCTGTGCTCAACAAAACTCAGAAATATTTAAATCTGTTTAAATCCTGTTGGCTCAGGCTGTCTCCAGTGTTTCAGGTCTTTAAAGTACCTGAAATGTTCTGTGTTTTCAACAATCCTAAAACTTCCTGTGTGGCTCCAGGTGGGTTCCAGTGGGTCCTTGTTGTCTTCTGTTCATGTGGGTCTCATGGATCTCATGTCACCCAGGACCAGTCTGCTTTAGGAGACCCTCCAGGGATGCTGCCTGTCTGACTGCAGTTCAAACTGCTGGGACCAGTTTCTACTCAGAAACTACCTGAAGTCCTCATTCTGTCTTCCATCAGACCTGTGAGATGTTTCCACTGAACACAGTCCATGAACTGGTTCTTCTGGTTCCTCCTCTTCACCTTCACCTCAGTGATGTGTTTTAAAATAAAAACTAAAGTCTCATCTTATGACACAGTCCTGATGAGGACAGAAAGACAAGTGTGTGTATCTGTGTGTGTGTGTGTGTGTGTGTGTGTGTGTGTGTGTGTGTGTGTGTGTGTGTGTGTGTG